AAGAGTTCACCGAAAATGGGACTATCACTACTGAGAAAAAAATACCTACATTTGAAGCAAAATTGCGCAAGTACTCACATTTTCGAAAAATTGTATGACCTTATTACATGTTGTCTTTAAAAATCAGATTTCCTTAAGCAAACTAGTGGTGCAACAGAATGGCGCAGATTTTCCTGAATTTCTATATATATATATATATATATTATATATTACTTTCCGCTCTTTCTTTTTACTTCTCTTAATAGATAGTAAATGTTCATTTTAAAATTACTCCATTTTCCAACAATTTCTCTTGAATTTTCCTTCTTCTTACTACTTTTATGAATATTATTCGTACTTTTGTATTTTAATCTTACATTTTGTCTAATGGCATCCAGAAGCAAAAAAATGTACGTTTGGGGCAAAATACGAGAGCATAAGGCACTTACCATTAATTGAAATTCACTATTACTAATAGGATAAAACGGCTATTTCCAAATTCTAAACACCTATGAACGCATAAATATAAAAATATCGTCACTTGAAATCGTAAATCGTTCAACCCTACATGTATTTGTAGGCTTGTAACAAAATACTGCTAATTTTCAATTGGATTAGACTATTAGAAAGTTCTGAGAAACAGAAATACTTGTTTCATGTAGAATTTCACTTCTAAACTACAGGGCATTCACTTGTAACTATAAACTACTAGTAATTACTAATATGATTGTGAACGGGACCGACGACACTACCAGAGACTAAAGGAAATAGAAATTATAAATATATATATATATTAGAGAGAGAATGAGAGAGAGAGAGAAAGAAGAGACGGAGAAGAAGAGACGAAGAAGAAGAGGAGGAGAAGAAGAAGAAGAAGAGGAGAAGAGAAAGAGAGAGAAATAGAGAGAGAGAGAGAGGGAGAGAGAGAGAGAGGGAGAGAGAGAGAGAGACAGACAGAGTTGACATAGAGACTAAAACAAACAACACCATATGTAGTAATGCATACGCACGCAAAAACAAAAGACAAAGGTGCAAGACGAATACGAAGTTCCTTGGACTGTCGACTCAAGTCCAAAGAACGCGAAAACGCGCATTTTATTTCCAATAATAATAATTTTTTTATTGAGTCACATATACAATTGCAATTGTGTATGACGAGTCAAATATGATGTACTCGTATGTGGAAGGTGTACAATTGCGCACATCTTTAGTTCAGAGAGTGAAGTTACATTTACTGTCTACAAGCAAAACAAGGGCCAATCTCAGCATTTGCTCAAAGGATCAGGGAATAGAATTGCATTATGTGTAATTCAATTGTGAGCATTTCACAGGACATTCACTAGTATCTACAAGTGTTGTACGATATCTTTGTGAAACAGACGTTACGAGGACTTGTGATTACTAGTCCTCGTAACTTGAAACCTTTGTGAAACGAGCCTCTGGCCTTTAGATTAATTCAAAACTCATGCCTGAAAACACCACTACCACCACTTGTTTAGGCCATTATCAACGCGTGAAATACCTTTGGCTTCCCTTTCTCTTTTAGCGGCCCTCCCCCCGTCCCAGTCGCAGATTTCGGGGGTGAGAGAACGGGGCTATTTTAGCTGGAAGAAAGACATATTCTGTCCTGGGGCAGTCATTTATTCATGAACGTTGGAACTCACCTTTAGGAAAGAAGAATCGCTTAGAAAATGACGAAGGATGAACGAGATTTTTGGTGGAAGTTTACTTCAAAACTCTTGTTTTGAAGAGTCAGTAAGTTATTCCGAACACACCAGTTTACAAGTCAACCATTTGTGATTAATCCGGCGTCAGTTTAGTGTCATTTTAAGGAAATAATATTTTATTTTTTTTCTTACTTATTGATATTTTATTACGATTTTCTTATTTTTTAATTGGCAGGTTCCATATAATGATTTTATTATTGTTATAGATAATGAAGAGTTTGGCGGTGATGTTTCACGAGATATCTTTCTGATTTCTCTCTGAGACGGCTTTCATTAAATAATATTTATTGTTGCGTTGCTCTTAATAAATCGATAAATGAGCCATAACTTCCCTCCACTTCAGTATAACAGATCTGTTTCTTAAGAATTTTGGACAGAATCGCCCCAAGTTACGTAGATGTGTTTACCCGCTCATGCCCTCTGCCCACCCCACCCATTGCGAAGCGCGGAAAGATTTCAGCCCGCCTGAGAGAGAGAAAGAGAGAGAGAGAGAAAGAGAGAGAGAGAAAGAGAGAGAGAGAGAGAGAGAGAGAGAGAGAGAGAGAGAGAGAGAGAGAGAGAGAAACAACAAAAACAGAATCCGGAAAGTTGCTGCAGCTTATGAAATGACGCTCACTTCCTCCTTTGCTGTCTCGACGTGAGTCGAAAGGAGGTAAAGGCACGCGGTTGCCAAAACACAGAGTTAAGCTAAAGATCCTGTAGCTATTCACTCCGGTCGGGGACGCCTAAGCTCTCATTGATATATTAAGATTGAAATTAAGTCGAAAATCGCCCCAATATCTTTGATGCTGTCACCCGATATAAAAGGTTTGTTATTTAGAAAGTATACAATAGATTTAAAAAGAATATTTTTCTGGGAAAAATTCAACAAAAAAATAATGGTCAACATGAAGCTTCACGACGTTAGTGAGGCACCATTTCTACAATCGTTATACATCCAGTTACTGACGTATGGGATCACCAGTATCAGACACCCTGGGGATGATTTTGGCGTAATTTGTATTCAACAATTTTTTTTCTATCTTTAATTACATTGGATAAGTTGTTAATGAATAACTTATAGCAGGGGTCCACCCTACAGGTGGCAATCCTGTGGGACACCAGACTGAATATCAAAAAGGAACGAGAGAAAAAGCCATTAATACTGACGTATTGTGATCTGCCAGTTAGATAGTGTTGGTCCAGGAGAAAAGTGGGATCCCACCCTCAATCTGGACAACTTGTCAACAAGGATGGTGAGATTGACTCTGTCAAAGGTCTTCGAGCAAACTTTTTAACCTGTCACCCGTCTCGGTGAACCATATGACCGCGCCCTATATAATATACAGCTAAATACCCGGCGTATTTTTTCGTATTCGATCCTTGTGAAAAAGAAAAGGTCTCAGTGTGTCTTTTTCTGTTTGTTTCTCTCTCTGTGTCTCTACCTGCCCGTCTGCATGTGAACCTTTGTCTCTCTCTCACACAAAGATAGACACACACACTATATAATGTGTGTGTGTCATCTCTGCGGCTCTATCGTTCTCTGCCTGATTCTTTCTGAATAATCCTGCGTTTCTGTCTGTCCCTCTCTTTGTCTCAGGGGCACCGTCTCCCTCTGTGTGTGTCTGTCTCCATCACACTCTGCATCTCTCCGTCTCCCTTTGTCTAGCGCCCGCCCGTCCGCTTCTCCTGGGCCGGTCCCTGCGTCACACGGCCACGCGACAATGAAGCCCGCGTGGAGCGCGATTTTGTTCTGCAGCGCCATCTAGTTATGTTACAACATTAACAGTTAGAACATAAATCTTCTAGGCGAAAAACTTTCAAGGAGATCGGTTCACGGCGTCGGAGATCACTACTCTGTATGTGTGTAAACAAAATAATTAATAGTAATTAACATGTAATTTTCCCTTAAAAAGCAAGTAGATGATAATACAAAATTTAAAAACAAATTTTGATTATTAGCAAACGGTTTTGAAACTAAATAAAAAACCTATTCAGGAATGGCTGGAATAGAGAATGTTATTATTACTGTTATGATGCATTGACTGCTAAAATAATTAGCCAATGACAATGATATGCTCTGATATCCATGTTTGCTGTTAGTTTTCTCTAGGAAGTAGTTCTTTATAAGTGACTTTCTGATGTAGATTACTTTTAGGTATCACACGGGAGAAGTTGCAATAAGAATCATGGTTAGAATTTTTTTTGTGAAGTATATGCAATTTTTTTCTCAATTATGAAATTTAGGCTCAGCAGAATACCAGGATGGGTAAGTAGACGATTTGATGATACGCTATAGAATGAGTTAATCAAAACAAAAGGTCATTAAGCAGGTGAATGCAAACATCAATGTCATAATTCAAAAAATTGTTAAGCCAATCAACGTAGTTTAAATAATAATGAATAGAAAGATATTCATCATTAGAACAATCAATATCTATAGATGGAGCTACTGAGTAGGCAACAGGAGTACAAGAGACAACACAGTAAAATGGAGGATGATAGATGTCACAAGTTAACCTATTATAGAGGCACTGATCAACAGAATCAAAACTTGATAGAATCAGGAAAGAGTTAAAGTTGTCATTATGTTGAAGGACATTTATTGTAGTAAAATCTTCAGCCAATTACAGGCAGCTTCAAATTGAGTGGAGGAAAAGGAAATGTCCCTTGGGACATCCAGGAGGTTACTCAACTGGATATCAAGTAGACTGAAGTCACCAGTGAGGAGTATCGAATATTGACTCTAGGTCTCATAAATGCTGATACGATTGCTTACATAGGCAGCGCACAATTCTCCAAGAAAAGAAAATATGAGTTAATTCAGAGTTCTCGTCTCCACACTTTCAATAATAAAAACACCACAAGGACATTAACAAGCACATAATGGTCTTTTGGGCACATGCACAATGTTTTTCTTATCCATTTTTTAAAATTTTGGAAAAACTATAATTTTTGGTTATTTATACTTTATTCATTAGTATGCTTTATTATATTGGATTACAAAAAGAGTCATTTAATCTAGTGCAGGAAGATTAATTTGGTGGTTGTAATCATGAGCCCTGTAACCTTCTCGAAACATAAGATAAATAACTATTTCAATAAAGAAAAAAAATTGGTCTAGTTTTGGGAACATTTTCATCATTTTATAGATTTTTTCAAACACTTATCAAAATCTGGATAATGATATTGTGTTTGTTGGAAAGGATATCATTTTTTTTCAAAAAGGATAGTGTAGGAAAAGGGATTAAAACTGGAAGTACTAAGAAGTTTATGGTAAGATATACTATCACTTGAAAAAATCAACAACAAACATTCATACAAAATTAAATAATACTTTAATAGTACTCTTAAATATGCTAAAAAGATACAGAAGCTTTCCCTTGAACTTCTGCTGTACAGGCAATAGCATTGCAACATCTTTGTAAATATTTGAAATAAATTCATATTCTGAATAAAGAAACAAAAAAACAAGTATTTATCATGCATATTTTGAGAACAGCATGTAAACACTTCAAGACATTGTTGGTCTATATTTTGTGCTCATTTGTTGCATTATCTAATCTTAATTAAGTCTTTACATTTGAGAAGTTCCATAAAATAGGTCTAAAATGAAAAATATAACTACTAAGAGACTATGTACATGATGTTTACATTTGTATGTGCACTGAGTCAATATTGTTTGTTTGAAAATATAAGAGATATGCTCCATTTCCACTAAAAAATTCAATCCAACGTACTTATTAGGTTTTAGAACATTAAATTGAGATAAAAACATACAGGTCTTCTTTAGAGAATATGCCATTTCTCATTCATATTTTGAGTCATTTTAATGTCAATAGAGACAATGTCCACCTGAAGACTAGACAAATCATCACAACACAAAATTTCATTTTCTCATAATTCAGGGAGTACACAAAAACATGAGAAAAATAGGCACTTGGTGCTCGCCTGAATTAATTGCAACAAAGTATTCCGAGTAAAAATAGTTTCCTGCAACTTGCAGTAGTTATGGTCCCCAACCTGACACCACACATTTCAGCAACTCAAAACACAATTGATAAACAATTTCTTTTTTCTTTTCTTATGTAATTGGACAATCTATGGCCTAACCAAGATAATATGAAAAATAATTTATAAATAGTATTGAAAAGTAATAAATATTTTTCAAAATGATTTAACAGAATAAATCAACCCGTCAACTGATATAGTTACTGCAAATACATCTTTCAATAATAGTTTGATTTCGATTGATTAGTCAACCATCATCAGATTTACGAATATTGATTATGTTACTACAAAAACCATTTCTTTTTTGTTTTCTTTTCCTTCTCTTTGGAATGATCAACTGAAATTTCACTCTCATCAATATCCTTATCAGCATCAATAATAGGCTTATTTACTTTTTTAAGACCAATCTTTTCTTTGTGTTTTTTACTCTTCTTATCCTTTTTAAATTTAATTTTTTCGGTGGACGATTTGTTCTGCTTCTCATCTTTATTTTCCTCAGAACCCCGACTTTTTGCTGAAAGAAAGTATTCTTAATATTAGAAAATATAATTTGGAATCGAAGACCAAATCATCAATAGAACAAAATTACTGAAAAAGAGAAGCAATTATTCTAAAGTGGGCATTCTTTAAAACAATGGTTAATGATTAAAGAATGTTCTTTTGTGCAGCCGACTGCAAAACTTATAAGTAGTAAAAGGGAGCCAACACCAATGGTTGCACCCAAGCCACACTTCAAAAATAAAAGTAGTAGTTATAAAAAAAAAATGTTCAAATAAAGCAAAGTAGGCATATAAAAATGATATTGGTGTAATTTGCAGTAAAACTACCAAGGTTTTTGAAAATTCCAAAAATTTTAATTTTTTGAATCCTTTCCTACTACATTATGAAAGTTAAGAGATTTTCTTGTTAACAAAATCTGTTTTGATGCAATTGGATTTTCAAATAATGTACAACTTTAAGTATAATTTTTTGATAATGTGAGTAGTTTTGATATAATTTTGACTGAAAGCGATTTAAAAAAAGACACAAATTTTTGCTTTACATTTTTACTCAATTTTTGCTTAATAAAGAAACATAGGTTTAATTGGTGGGTGCGCATGCAAAAGCGGATAAGTCAAATTTTTGTCCAAAAGGAGCGTGCTAGTACATAGCTTTACAATGATACTTTCATTGTTTACAGGACACTTCAATTTTGTCATTAAACTGTAATGACAAAATTGAAAAGTCACTTACCTCCCTGTACACAATGATAGTATTGTAGTAAATGTCCTAGCATATTCCTTTTAGACAAAATCTTGACTTGTTTCCTTTTACACACGCACCTGCCAAGTTTCGTTACAACTTCTTTGAATTTCAAAAATTGCAAAAGTTCAAATATGTTTCTGATCTGTTCTATGCCTTCCGTATTGAAGGTAGATGCAGTCTTTTTTCCAAAATTAGATCTTTAAATAATTTGTTTTCACTTTATGTACATTGTTTTCAAAATAGTAGTTTTTGTGTAATTTTAAGTCATACGGCTGGTGTTTTTTGAGTGAAGGCTGAAGTTGCAAAATTATTATACAACATAAAAATTAATATGAGAAACTATATAATATTGTTGTTGTGCCATATTTTACTCTTCCCTACCCATCCCGAATTTCAGCAGCCAAATATTGTGGTTTACATTGCAATCCAAGTTTCAGTTTCGTGTCATTTGTGAAGTAATTTTGGTTTACATCTTACTTTATGTACTAAATATTTAATGCCTTAAATAAGAGGATGAATGTTTTCAATTTAGTATAAACATTATACACATATTTTTTTAAAAATAATGAAAAACATTTAACCATGCTTGTTATAACCAGATTGTACTTAATTACTTTAGAAACACTTACCAGCAAAAATACCTAGTTGTGTGTGAATACTATGGTCTTCTTCAGCCTCTCGCAGCCGATCCATTTCTAAACATTCAACAATTTCGTTTCGCCTTTCTACAACTTCTACCAGTCTCTGAATAAGTTCTTCTTCACGTGCTTTATCACTTTCTGTTTTTGTTTGCTCCGGTCGTTCCAACAAGCAGCGAATTTGATACTCTAAATCAGCATGTTCCTCCTCTAACCTCTGTTGCCGCCGCCTAAAAAAAATTGTGTTTCTATTGTACGACATTATTTTACAAGAACATTACTATTTAAAGATTTTCTGACCCTACTTGCTTTCAACTGGCTTGACCAACAGTTACAATATTGCTGTCATAAAATATGGTAGGCAACTTATTCCTTTGTAGTCAAGTGAAACATATTACTCACAGGTACATCAATTCAGCTTGACGACGGAAGAGTTCATTCTTCTCATTAACTAATTCAAATAGTTGTAGCACCAAGTCTTCAACATCTGGTGTCATACTACAATCTGAAAAAACAAAATCAAGAAACATTATATCTCGAGTAATATTAGATTTATTGTTTTTGACTACAATTTCGTTAGATTTATTGTCTGCCCCGTGTCAAAATTTAAAATGTCAAAAGCTTCGTGACAGGATCACTCATATGAAAGAGAAAAAAAACTACAAATTACATCACTTTAAAAGAGGAATTAAACTAATTATTATTACGGATGACTAGGGATTAAATTTCTCAAAGCTATTCACACTCATCTTCCACTACAAATTAGGAAAACCAAAGAAACCATTTAACTTAACCTCCTTTTTAAACTAAGTTTGTAAATTTAGTTTTAAAATTGCAAGTACCTTCTAATTCAGTCTGCTCAAATTTGGATCTTATTGTTTGCTCTAGTTTCACTCCCTGGCGTTCCAACTCTTGTTGCTGCACCTCAATGTCTTCCAGTTCTCTGCGCACTTCTTGCATGGGGATCGCCTTTATCTGCACATGATCAAATCAAGCTCAGCAGGATGTCACAGTAAAAACAAAACCAAAAGAAAATGAAAACTTTGTTAAAAATTTATATTTATCTCTATTAATATAAACATTAACACTACAATAATTTCAAACGAGTCAAGTACACAGGATACCAAACTAAAAGAGAAAATTTGAAGAAAAAATTAAAAAAACAAACAAAAAAGAAACATTGAACATTAATCAAATGTACTATCATATTAATTAATATGTATATATTTAAATAAACTATTACTATTAATTAAATAAGACTTATTTTAATTAAATTAATGACTTATAACACATTTTTCAAACTCTAGGAAAAATAAAACTGCATGGAGATGCATAGGAAAATCCAACAAATATGAAATTTAAAAAGAATTACTGATAGATCATCAAAATATTTTTGTTATTCTCTTAGCAACTGAAATATTCTCTAAAATAGAAAGTTAAAATGGCCATACATATAAGTGCATAGTTAGTTCTGTCTTCAATGTAATGTTGGCAATACTTATTACTTGCATTTTTTTTTCAGAAGAAAATAAAACTACTCATGTACTTACAGCACAAAATCACCAATGGAAAGAATGATGGGGCAATTGGAATGGGATATTTACTTCATCAAAAAACAGGGAAAAGAAAAAACATTTCAAAATAAGGATATCAAGGTTACATCAGCACATTTCCCAAGGAATCCATTGTGACTTTATTTCAAATAAGTACATGTATTAATTGAAAAGTACAAGACTCTTTAAAGAATGTATTTAAAAATAATTAATAGTGACATACACACTTGTACAATGTTCATGACTAGCCACAACTGACTACGAAATTACACAGAAATTATCATTTAATAAGAATTATAACTTACACACTCCAAAAAGATTCCTAATTCTAACAACATAACTGCATTTTGTTCGATTACAAGCACTACACAGATGCCACAGGCTTTGGCACTACGGATAAATGGGAGGTGAGATTTCATCACAAGGTACCTGGCGGCGCTGGGGGATGGGCCTGGGAGGAGCAGGGCCCTTCTTCCTCTTCCACTGTCCTTGGATGCTCTTGTTCGGCACCGCCAGCGGCACTGGAGGTGTCACTGCTGCAGAGGGAGACTGCACCGCCAAAGAGTCCACAGATTTCGGAGAACTTGGAGATTCTTTACAAGAGAAACAACACATTCAATTAATGCATGAAGAATGCAGAGTTCTTCTTGGTGAAGGACATATTATTGCACTTCCCTCATACTTTCACTCTTTTCATTCACATTAATACTGTATTCCAAGTAAGCAAGATCTGAGCATACAATTTTGCAATCACTATAAAAATGAAATATTCTATAATAATTTTTTTCCACAGAATACTGCTAGTAATACAAACCTAATAATGTTATATTTTGACTTTGACGGTTGCGATTAGCAACATCCTTTTCAAGTTTCTCTTGATGAACCAACTCTGAAGTTTGAGCGCTGCCAGCAGCAGCAGCAACAGCAGTAGCAGCAGTAGCAGCAGCAGCAGCAGCAGCAGCAGGAGGAGGCATTAGTGGAGGTGGGGGTGCAGGTTTGGATTTCTTCCGGTGCCGGGGTGTCATCATAGGAGAGTGACTCTGAAAATTATTTTAGAAGTTCTAATGTAAATGAGCAAGTGAATAATTCTGTTACATAAAAAAAGGTGGAGAACAATGTTTTTCAAAAATTACATTAAACTATCCACAAACATCAAAGCAGGAATTTAAATAAATCACTTTTTTTACTATTATTATATTACATTTTTATAAATGTTTTTGTAGTACAATAAAATGAAAATTATATTAATATAAATACTGTAAATATAATAACAATAAAATTAAAATTTAAGTAAAGAGGAGGTATATTAAATTTTTTTAAAAATATTTAAATAGGAGTAGCTTCAGTTCAATATGAAAGCCACATCAATATATGTATATATATGTATTATAAAATAAAGTCAACATTGTTCAAAATTCCGGAAAGAATATTAGCTTTATTTTCTGCATAGAAAACAAAAAGGAAATAAAACTAATTAATTGATTATATAAATTATTTCATCCACTTAAAAACAATTGTTTCAGTTGTTTAAAAATTACGCATGTTTCATTCAAAATTTCACAAAAACTACCCACATTTTCGATATACTTAACATGAACAGCTTTTATTTAAGAAAAAGATTTTATCTTCGTTATTGTAGTTGTAGGAAAAATTTTTGGAATTTTCTCCAAGTCAGGGAGTGGAATAAAAATGGGCCCTCCATTTCCTTTCTTCTAACTTTTGTTGTATTAGAAGAAATTGCTTTTATCATTTTTGAGATAATTTTGTAAATGTTGTTGAGGCTTCGTACTAAGTAGTCCCGAAAACAAAATACCAAATTCAAGGGGCTGCGACATCAGTCGGATCAATTTCAGAATATCAACTGCAGTGAAAATCCTGCTTACAATTTGGCTAGCCACTAGCACTGTTCACAGACAGACTTGTATTGCCTTCTATCTATTTTTCGCTATCGAGGATCCACTGATGTGGATTGTGACTATGCGTTAAGGGAAGAGGTTTTCTAAATTCAGGAACACTTATCTACTTTTTTGTTACCAGGGCCTGCCAATCTGTTGGCCCTGCGGTTTTTCTGTAGAACATTTGCAGTTTTTTCCTGTAGCTTGACAATTTTTTCTCTATACTGCATAAGCGGCAGGTAAGAAAGTAATCATCACAATAATAATAATAATAATAATAATAATAATAATAATAATAATAATAATAATAATAATAAAAATATTACAATCTATCAGAAACTTTTCTTTCATTATAAAATTTCAATTGACTAGACATAAGCAATAGCAATTGTACATGTCTCTCAATAAATAAAAGAGATAAGTCTAGTTTGTCCTACATTTACCTTGATGCTTGTAGTGGGAGACGATGCTCGAGAAGATGTTGTAGAAGTGCCAAGAGGCTCGGACGGGGGAAACAGCTCTTTCATACTGGGTGGCGGTGGTGCAGGTTTCTTTTTTCGCCTTGTTGTGCTTCCTCCTGCAGAGGAACTCAGGCTGGATAGAGAGGAAGCTGAACCGAAGTGCCCAGAGGCGCTTGGTGTTGGTCTGCGAGGGGTAGGTTCTGGGGTAGATGTAGTTGTAGGTCTAAACATGTAAAATTTGTTTTTTCACAAAATTCATCCAATTTAAACAAAAATTCTAATATTGTTGTTAACATTTACAAATATACTTACTAAAACATACACTAAGAATTCTTTTAAGCTTTTTGTCACAATAAATAATAGTAAAATGAAGCATAGCAAAAATATACTTACCTAATTGTTCTAGGGCGAGGTACAGGAGTCTTGCCAGTTGACTGGTCTCGCAATTCTGTTGTATCATCATCTTCACTTGGTTCTTCGCCATCACTCCAAAATGGATTCAAATTCACTTTAGGTGCTTCTATCATTTTTTTTTGATGTTCTACTTTGGGACGAATTACTGGAAGAGGTGGTCGAGGAGGTTTTGTTGATGATGGCTTTGAAATGGGTGTTTGTGTGATCACACCTGTTTTTTCCTTGGTATCATTATCTTCCTCATCTTCACTAGAGCCAAAAGGATTTGTGCTCTCTTGTTTTGAACCACCTGAAATGTTTAACATTTTGACAGGAGATGCAGTATTTCCAACAGGTTCTTCTGGCAGTTCTTCTTCATCCCCAAAAGGATTAAGTTCTGAAGGATATTTCTCCTGAATTGTACTGGAACTTACAGAAAGAACTTCACCAGGCACCTCCAGAGATGACCTCTGAAGTGTAGTCGAACTTTTTGCATCTTCCATTTCTTGTGAACTGCTTTCTGCTAATGTTTTTGAATCTGTGTCCATTTGTCTTTCATCAGGTGGAGTTTTAGTATCTTCCTCTTCTTGTTCTGACTTTTTATCATCTTCTGTGCCTTTGACATCTTCAACAGTTTTGTCATCTTCAGCATTTTTAAAATCTTCTGTGTTTTTGACCTTTTCAACGCCTTTGACATCTTCTGCGCTTTTGACATCATCTGCGCCTTTGACATCTTCTGCGCCTTTGACATCTTCTGCGCCATTGACATCTGCGACTTTGACATCTACTGCGCCTTTGACATCATCTGCGCCTTTGACATCATCTACGCCTTTGACATCATCTGTACCTTTGACACCTTCTGCGCCTCTGACATCTTCTGCACCTCTGACATCTGTACTTTTAACACCTTCTGCGCCTTTGATACTTTCTGCACTTTTAACATCTTCTGTAGAAGGCACTGATATAATAGGCACTTCTTTCTTCAGTTCATTAAAATCATTGCTTATTCTCAAAGAATCTTTTTCTTCTATTGAAGACCTGTTACAAGGAATATCTTTTGAAATTAAATCTTGTGTGTCACTACTTAAAGACTTGTTTATTACTTCATTACCCTTCAGGGAGTCATTTGCAGGTGTTGTATTATTAATATTTTTCTCCAAGTCAGATTTATCTCCTGGATCTGATGAGTCTTCATCAGTATTTTTTCGATATAGAGCATATCTCTTATTAGAATCCGTCTTAGAAGCTTTGTCTGCAACAGAACTAGTGGCAGGAGTGCCCTCTGAGTTTTCAAACATTTTCAGTCGCATTTTTACAAGAGATTTTGGAGATTGAACTGTCAGATCAGAATCTTTGGTACGTTGTTTCTCATCAAACTTACTAAGATCACTTTCGTCTCTGAGTACTCTGTTGGCAGTAATTGGCTGACTATCACTATTGCTACTCTTGGTAATAATACTTGAAATAAAAGGATGAGCAACTAATTTTTCATTGTTTGTTGCTTCCTTTGATAACTCTCCACTACTGGAAACATGACAACTTACATCTAAACTATCACTAACACTTTGTTTCTTAAGACTATCTGATGGATTACTGCTGTGTTTAGATGACTCTTTCTCCTCTTTAACACTATCTTTAATATCATCTACACTTTTTGGTTTAACTTCTACTACTTTGGAAGACAACGTATTTAAGTGAGCATCAGAATTTGTGTTATCATTTACGGGCTGATGAGTTTTGCTGATGACTTCCGCTTTGCCTGTGCTATCTAACTGAACAAGGTCTCTGTTGGAAGATGCTCGAGAGAGAACGTCACTATCTGTCTCACTAAAACTGTCTTCTGCAAGCATGAGTGAACTCATAAAATTGGACCTAGCTGCTGAAACATGAGTTTGTTCAAAAGAGTCTATCGATGGCCGTTTGGAAGATTCTGTGCTTTCTAAAGCTGACTCGAAATCAGCACTGTAACGATCAGAAAATTCAGGTACACAAATTTCAGGCACACTTGTTAACTTCTTCTCTTCAAGGACTTCATCTGGACATGTTTCACAGCAATAATGACCATCTTCTGTCTCATAACAATTAGCAAGACTAAGTGGATGATTGCAACGAGCACAGCGAAAGCATGAGCGATGGTATAAGGTGCGCCCACCCACTAAGAGACGTTCAGCCAGAAATACAGGGAGCCCACAGGCAGCACAGGGCTCTCGGCGTTTGGCAGGCAGCACGCCAGCAGGCGGGTGGGCAGCCACCTACACAACAGCAACACATTGTCACAAACTTATAAAATTATCATAAACAATACATCATAGCCATTATGTGTATCAATTTTTACAATTCAAGAAATAATTTATCTACATGCCATATAAAGATTATGGCAAGGAAAAGTATTCATAATTTGAGAAGAAAAGTGATTCTCAAATAATGTTTAAAAATTATTAAAACAAGATTGATTAATTTAAAAAAGGGAGAAGAAGAAGAAGAATCTGAAATGCTTGTCTGAAGGGCAAGTTACACGTAGCTTTATATATATATATAATTCTTGGCAACATAAATGCATACAAGAAACAAACTCATTCAATTCATTAGTCCCACCCAATACAATACAAAAGCTGTAAGAAGCAAGCACTAAAACACCCCAAACATAAATGCCCAAAGAAAAGACAAAAACAAAAAAGCAATTACCTTCTAGCAGAATATTTCAGGTTTATACTGTCCCATAATGTCCAGGCTATCCTCCTGGGGACACAGAAAGGACAGTGTGGGGTTAGGCAGCCAGCATACTTCAGCACACCTCTAATAGCACGTTGACAATGTGGCTAGGCTATTGTTACATGAATCCTGCCTGACCCGAATTCAAATACCCCATTGTCAGCATCACACTCAAAGTCCAACTGTTATGTACAGCTCCATCATGAATACATCTCTTCCTCTGAACTGAACAACTCAGACAGGAGAAAGTTTCTGCACTACTGATTCAAGAAAGCACAGAATGAAAGTATGACCCCCATTTTCTTCGTAGAGCCTGATATATTAAGACAGTAATTTCATTGATAAATTGTCACATTAATTAACAATGAACTACTATATGCTTCTATGACTACTCCTCATTTTTTAATAGTATTTTCTTCAATAGGACAGCACAAAATTCAGTTCAACCAAGAAAACAAAAGTGTACAATGACTACAGTATATTATTTACAAAAGCCAAATTGAAATGATGATTTCCTTAAAAAAAAAACTGACATGAGTCACTTGGACAGCAGCCTGCTTAGTTATCATAATAGTAAATAAGATGCAATTTTTTTTACTACTTCCTACAAAAAGTAAGAAAAATGTAAAACTATGGAGCACACTTGCAGCATGCTGAAAATATATCCCAGTGTACTGTAAACATGCAAACTGTTGAGAGAATACTGTGTTTGATTATATGTTTCATTTTCACTTTTCATATTTCCAAAGAATGTAATGCAACTATAACACAACACACTACATAATTTTAAACATCTCAATATTTTTTCTATTTGGAAACTCTCTACAGAGAAATTTACTACATAAGCAGCCAGGAAATTTTTAACTAGATATATGCCACCAAAGAGTTTATAATCCAATGAACTTGGGTAATGAATATAGGTTTCAAAACTTCAGAAATTCACGTCAAACATATCTATCAAAAATATTTACTTAACTGATTTCTTTATTTAATTTTAACAGTAAATTCCATATTTCCTGTCCTTACTCTCATTTAAGCAATAATTAGATACTAACCAAAAATTAACCCTTTCTTTCTTTTTGGTGCTTTCTTTATTTTTGTGACAATTTTTACTTATTATACAATTTGCAATTTTCCTTATGAGAATACCATATAAGAATAATTTTATTTTTATAAAAATAGTTCCTTCTCACAATGGTGATAATCAAGAAACTAGCACTGTACATAACCAAGTCTGAGTCTCAGTCGCATGCATTACTACTTTTACAAGTCCTGGTGATCCCAAACTTTTAGAAAGAAGGCCAACACACATGAAAATGCTATAAGAAAGTAATTATAATAAGAATGTGAAAAATGCAACATGTACATACACTTAATCTAAATTATTTTCCTTGAGCAATATCAGAGATCAGAGAAAGCAATGAAGAAGAATTGTGCAAGTAATTAATATCATATTAAAGCAGCCTGCCTTACTGCCTTACCCCATACTGTCTTTCTGCTTGCAAGCCTTTGAGCACTATTCAGTGATTTTTTATGGGTTTAATGAGCACAATATTGCATCTACAAGAAACCAAACCAACAACATAGGAATTACTGTTTTCCTACCTTCAAAGGTACTTCAATTCAAAATTTTATGTAACAGTAACAGTAGCACTTTATATACGATGAACGTGACACAGGTACAATTACACTAACTCAATAAACACAACATATACCAGTTCACTTCACAATAAAATGAAACACTGTGCCTGCACTGTGCGAAGTTCTATCTGGAACTGAAGTTTCCAGTGATCTGCTTCAGAAGTAAACCCAGTACCTCTGATCTGCTTGGCAATTCACATCACACTGACCTTGGCCATGAAGGTGCAAATGCAGAACAAAACTTTCTAATGTCACGACAGCCAACTAATTGATATGCAGCCAAAGGCAAAACCTTTGAAAAAGCGATTTTCTTGCCAATTTCTTGTCTAGAAGATAATAGATCCCAAGACTGTCCTAGTTCCTAGTGGATGAAGTTTGAGCTGTTCTAATTTAGCTGATTTCACTGATCACTTCAAGTTGTATTTTTAACCCCACCATCCTAGTCAGTGTAGTGATTGTTAAATTCTTTAGGAAAGAACTTTCTTTTATGTTTATTGTTAATGTCAGTGTACACATTGAATTGTGCACTTTTGAAATAAACTGTTTTCTAGGATACATTGTGGTTTGGTTGGTTTACTCTACAAGATGAAATGATTTCTCATATTTCGCAGAAATAATAAGTAAAACAAAAAATGTTTTGGTGCAATCTCTTGCACTCCAACTTTAAAAATAAAGTTTAACTGATCACCTTGGCATCTACTGCAAAGTCTATTGCATGTATATACACAAATGAAAATTATCTAATATTTTATTGACAAATTTGTTCAAAAATACTGAAAGCATACCATGCGTCAATTTGGTATTTAGAAAAAGTATAAGCAACATTCCTCAGAAAGCATAAAAAAAGTACAAAGTAAATTGGCTTGACAAGCAGAACAAAGTAGTAAAAGTGGAAGAGTTCATGCTCTTTTTTCAAATACAGAAGAAAATTGTAATTACAGAATCAAATTAAAATTTATCCAAAACAGCACTTAATAAAAAATGTACAGCATTTACCAACATTTGCCATTGCAAAAATATGCACACTTCCGCAACAAATGAATATTCTAAAGGAATTAAAATTTTACATCCCTATGCTGTCTCTTTTTTCTCTCCAGCATTTATGATTCATCGAGTAAGTTTCAATAATGACGAAAAAACATATCATGACTAGAAAGTAGCAAATTGAGAATTAATCTTTACATTAGGAATTTTAGTTAACTGAAAATCAACAATAATTAAAAGGCTTCAAAAACTAATTTCTAATTTAATTCCTGAATTTTTCAAAATATAGTTTACTGCATTGCAAGTCAACATTATTAGGAAAAGCATGCCCAAATGCCACACAACCCCAAAGAAAAATCCACCACCAAAATAAGTACATCCAAATTCCTTAATTCATACACACACACATACCACTCTGGCATAAGACAATAGGTTAAAGACTATTAACATTTTAAGAGTATGTACATTTGAATCAAATTGTAAGTTTACAACAATTGCAAAACAAGATTAAGTTAATATTTTATGTAATTAAGCCTATAAATATGTAAATGTATTTTCTGTGTGTGAATTTTTGAAAAAACAAAACTATAAAATTCACAAAACTGTTTCACTAAAAACAATTCTTGAAATATATTGCACAAATTTCATTAAGAATGTTTTCAGAAATGATGATAGATAGAACACATTCATTGGCCAGATAATACAAGAAACAGATTATACAGATACAAGTGTTTTACCAGGTAAAATAAACCTTAGCCAGTGTTGAAAATAATGGAAGGTATCAAGAAGTCCATCATGCAGTGTTGCCAGGCACCCACTGACTGAATATCTCACTACCTAGCAGCACTGCAAGCCTGTTTGTCACAGTACTGGGTGGAGGAACTTACGACAGGAAGTGCTTTATCTGGGTCATGGGTTTGCATGTTACATACTTCCTGGCCAATACAAACCACGTACGTGTGCTTACCGCTGGATTTATCTTGACACAGAAGAACAGTATGATAATTTTGAATGATATTAAGATATTTTAGTGTATATTTTGAAGGAGGGAATACACATCATCAAAAAAATAATTTCTACTGTGAAAATAAAAATAAAACTTTTGGTATAATTAACAAATAAAATGAAAAATTACTAAAGGATGTAAAGCTAAATTTACAGTCATAATTGAACACTGTCATCATCTATGAACTAGAATGAAACTAGTGATGCTAAAAGAGCATCTACATCCTTGCATTATTTCTGAATTTGCCTTTTTCAAAAATTCAGAGAATTCAATGAAAAAGAGACATGTGTCATTCTTTTAAGTGTCCTTGTTTTATCTATGGAAAAAGTTGAAGAGGAATGAAATTAAATTTGGAATGCTTTTTTGAGAAAATTTGTTTATTTGTTAATTGCATTAATTTTAATCAAAATTATATGACAAGGTCTCTTTTTTCCAAAATTTGTACATGATCTTTTTGAAAAAACTGATTTTTTTTAGAACAGATTTTGTTCACAGTAAAAAACTCTAATCTTCAACGCTGTACTTCGGAAATGTTAACTTTTTGCAATTTTCGGAAATACATATAATTCGGGAGAAATGACACTAGCTCCAATTTTTGATAAATAGAACCTTTGATACTCATGAAGAGAAAATTTAAAGAAAAAATTTGACCCGTTTTTGAAAAAATAATTTAAAAAATAAAAAATTGCCTCTCTTTGATGCAAAACTTCTCGTATTTTCGAAAAATTGGACATGATCTTATTTCAAGATGTCTTTGAAGAACAGATTTCATCCAGGAAAACTCTCGAGTATCTCCAATTTTGTGAACGTAGGAAGAAATAATTAAATAATTAAACATTTCGAAGATAATTACATTTTTTGCAAATTCAGGGACTTCAACAAAAATGAGACCTGATCACTCTCTTTAAACATTCTTTACGCTAAGCGAGAAAAAAGTTTAATTTAAAACATTGAGCCATTTTTGAAGAAGAAAAAAAGATGAAAATGTTGAGGCTTCATGTACAGTACCCCTAAATCAAACTGAGAGGGCTTCGAGTTCCATTAAATTGATCGAGAAATATTTTTGAAGAAAGTCGGCTGAACAGTTTTGACGCTAGCTTTGAATGCAGATGGACAGAACGTAAAGGCAGTTTTGCCATCAATCGCTTGTTCAGGATTAAAGATCCCTTGCAGTGATTCTGTCTACACAACTTATTAGAGGAAGTAATTTATTACCAAGAGGAACATGATTTTTCCATTTTTTTTTTATTTACGTTTTTTGTCGAAAATTCGTCTTATTCCGGCGGCCGATTACAATGCTTTCTTATGCAGGGGAAGAAATTAAAACGAACGTATTTTAAACACACAATATGGGATAAACCCCAACAATTTGTAATTCTGTCACATATTTAATATGAATTTTATGAAGCCACAAAATAACACACACACACACACACATATCCACACCCACAAATAAACGAAGTTAGAGTTCACAAATAGTACGTGATGAATTGCTAAGTACATTGCTGAAATTCGCCTCGCACCCACCTTGACAGGAGGACTCTCCGACATGGAAACATGGTCAGCAGTGCTGGCAGCCCGCTTGGCAGCCACACGACCAGGAGAAGCTCCTGCCAGAGAAACAAAGGGCTTCAATACATACAATTTCCACGCCGAAACGGATTTCTCACACAAATAGAAAGTTGGAACATTCAACTTTATTGAGATGGAATTATACGAATTTTATCCCAATTCTCTCTACAAATGCAAACGTTTCTGGTAACCAAGAAATGTTCTTATTTTATTGGGACGGCCATTTGGAACGATAATAACGAACGATTTCGAACGATTAATAACGATAGAAACACTCAGTGAAATGAAAACCTGACGCTCTTTCTGGAATTGAAGTATTACGAGGTTTATGTGGTTTGAGTGTGTACATGTGTTTACATATATTTATACATAAGGAAAGACAACTTATTGACAGATGGACATAGAAAAAAACGGAATCTCGTTAAGATGTAATAGTTGTGGTATATCTTAAATGCTAGAAAGGACTTGGCAAAACTCTAAAAAAGTGACAAATACTAGGGAGGGAAAGAAATTGAATTTAACACTATTTTCGAAATTAAATAAATTTCTCCTTTCTTACAATAAACCAAAGTTCAATACACAAATATTACAGTGGGACACCTGGAAGACACCATTTAAAATAAATCAGTGAAATGCACTTTTATAAAGATGTCTTAATCAGAGAATTGCAACGTGGTTAGAAAAATACCCTTTTGGAACAAGAAAGGAGGATGATGTCATCTAGACCACTTCCACGTTACAAAAGATAACATAACATTCTCATATACCTAGAAATTCTCATATACCTAGTCCTCAAGTTACGTGACTTTCACAAGCAAAATTAGAGAGAAACTCTTACATGATCAAACAATTCAAAAGTTTCCCATGAGAGCAGGTTATCAACTGAAATAGGCCTGAAACACTTTGTATTCTCACACATACATTCACTAACAATGTAAATAGTTGTTTCATACATCATAAACAACATTTTTAATGAAAGCCTATAATGTAACGTTATCAAGCCTCTGTAAACAAACATACTCAAAAAATATTGATATGTGGGAAAAGAGAAGCAGAATGCTAAAAATATACCACATTTTTAATTACAGCGAAGACAAGCCAGCCACACCAACCACTTTGCCCGATCTGAGCATCTTCTGCGAAGAGGTTTCACAACGATTGGCGAACTTTCTCTTCGGCGGCAGATGTAAGAGGAAGCTATGCCAACCTTTTTTTTTTTTTTTTTGTTAGAATTTTACTCGGATTACTCAAAAACAATGCCATTGCATTTGAAAAGGGGTATTCCCACTATAAATAGACATTTTTAAAACTTAAAGTCAACACTTTTAAAGAACGTCGAACCGACTGCGCTCCCGGCCACGCCTCGCACGTGCGACGCAACGCCTCGGCGCGGCTGAAAGTCGCAGCAGCAGCAACTGGACCGCGCGGCCGACGACCCACTCGGCACTCTCCGAACACCCAATTAATGGCACGTCACTTCGCATCCCGCGCTGCATTAACCCACTTCCCTCGCCTTTCTCTCGCCCAATGTCACGGCCGAGTAGGAGTTTTGCCATGAGCGAAAACCTGCACGGAATATTTAACGACTCTTCAGACAAGTCGGGGGAAAAATAGATCAACGCAGCTTGGCCTAAGGGTCCGCTTTCTACACGATTAGTTCTGCAGTTGACTTCGCCATGCATTTATTTTTCAAATTAAATTTACTTTCTTGGGGAGATTTTGCATTCATTGGAATTCGGATCAACCAATGAGAAACTATTTTCATTATTCTTTTATTGGTGAATATCTGTATAATGTTTTTAACCAAAATTTTCATTTTAAAAAAACCTTTTGCGTTTCAAAATAAAAACGATTTTACCATTTAAGAACATACTTTACGTTTGTTCTATACTAAAACTATTTTTTTCTTCTTTTCGACATAATTGCTTTTCAAAGAGCAATATTATAATACAATTTTCAATGAGAAGGCTTTGACAAGCTTGGTGAATAAGTTCATACCTACATCATTGTTATGGGGGCTACTGCGAATACAGTAGACTCTAGATAGCAGGAACTCGCTAGACAAGAATGTCCATAGATGGACAGAATTCGGGTCCAGGCAATGAAACAATACTACGGATGCATATAACTGGATAACACAAGCACTGATTTCCTCCGTCTCCAGAAATTCGTGATGGTTACAAAGGTTTACTGTAGTGAAACAAGCGTTAATCACCAGAGACAGGCGCGTTCAGAGAAGTTCTGCAGGTCAAACCCAAGCAAAACGCCTGGCAGTTCGACGGGTCGCCAGAACTTCGCCTGCAAGACCATCCTTGCAAAGTGCCATAGATTGCAGGAGCCGTGATGCAACAATTGCGATTAACGCACTTTTTAATATTAATCGTGTGTGTGTGCATGTTGTACGAAGGATTCAGTATCCTACGCTCCACTGCAACCGCCCTGCTCCACTATCTTAGGGTTTCAACTGTTGGCGGGAAAGTCTATTTGTGCAGAGCGCGCGCTGAAGACGCGGTCGAAGGCGCCTCACCTGGCTGCGTGCTGCCGCCGAACGCCTGGTAGAACTGGCTGAGGTACGTGAGGATGGAGAGGCGGTCGGGCACGGCATACTCCACCATGTCCTCCGCGTCCAGCAGCGCCGGGATGCCCAGGTGGCGCTCGGCCACGCGGAACGCCAGCTCGTTGTTGCGGTACACGTCCGCCTGATCCAGGCTGTCGAAGTCTCTGCGCACACCAGCAACGGCAAATCAGTAACACCCACAAAGGTCACCAAATAAACGTCCGAGGAACAGCGAAGTAAAAACATTCGTACACATTTGGAACCTTCACACGAAATTAACGAGCAGCATTATTCGGGGACAGTAAATATAAATGGGATCTGCAGCATGCGAAGGAAGAATATTTCAACGGCTCTCAAAGAGGAAAAGCGGATTTTTATTATAATAATGATAATAACAATAACGGTCATCGCCACTGGAAAGTAGGTTTCCGCGGCGCGACTCAATGTCTCCAACTGTCCGGGAGACGCTGTTCCTACGAACAGACGCCGCCGTCTAGGGCAGGTGTGCTGGACAGCCAAGTGCTAGACGCTGACTCCTGCCCCGGAAGACTACGCTTTCATTTGACCGACCTCTAGTGGGAGGAAACATTCAAACTCAATAGTAAGTTCTCCAACGTGCGAGAAAAGCGGAAGTGGAAGCTCGGCCAGCTGGGTTTCTTCAAGAGAGCAGGCATGAGGACGTCCTCGAAATCGTCCCCGGCTCACACTCGGCCGGCACCACGGAATCCTCGCAAGGCGGAATTCGCTTCTTGCGCGACAGGATCCACCGGACAAGGCCAAACTTTCCAACATCGATAAGTCGCTTAATTTCCAACTTTTGCATGCGCGCAGTCGTAACACCACACGTGACACAGTTTCGACAGAAAACAGGTATAAAACGAAAAATTTATAATGTAGCCATTCTATCAAAAGGTTTGTACAAAAAGGGTTCATGCAAAACTACAACCCAAAGGGAATAGCACGAAATTCGCAATATACACATGCGTTGAGTTATCTTCCTCAATATTATTCTACATAAAATTAAATATATTTGGATTATCTATCGAGTAATTTGAACATTATACTTTAGGGCGGAATTCTCATAGGTTGTCTGCTCGAGAAGCTGTTAGACTCAGACTCGAATCAGCTTGTCAGACAGCGTTCAGTGCGTACGATTTCCTCACGGCCAACGTCGTGTCGGATGTGATAAGCGGGAGTTTACCCTCAAGAGGAACAGTTGATTACTTCGTGTTTCCCTGACAGACAACTGCTATGATCATTTTCCGGTGAGCGTAGTGAATTTTTTTTAAACACGGGAGGTGGCGGTTATCCCCTGCTGATTGGTAGATTCGGCGCCGACCTACATGCTGGCTCGACAGATTTTCCACAACCAGGTATCTCCCACTTGTAGCGAAGCACCGCCCCAGCCGAGACTAGCTCCAAGCTCCCGGCTTGTCTCCCAGAATGTGGGATAGTGTAGGGCACGTAAGTGTGTGTGTGTGTGTGTGTGTGTGTATGTGTGTGTGTAAGGAGTGAGGATAGTACAAGGAAGGCGAAAGAAAGATCGCGCGCGGACCGTAGCCCGTTGGTTAAGGTACTGCTCTGGCATTCGCCAGGAGTTGATCGGAGAAAGAACGTAAAACTACCGATCAGAGAAGCCGGCAGCTACAATTCTACCAGACAGCGGATGAATTTGACCAATCTATGTTCAAGTTAGCATCCTGCCGCGTCGGGACTAGAACCCTAGAATTTCCCTGGCGAAGCAGTGCAGTAACATCAGTTGACGCTCTGAGGCACCTACGGGTGAAAAATTAACCGTCAAAATGAAATACAAGGTGAATTCAACGGGGAAATTAATTTTATTCTTTATCACTCAAACACGTAAGAAGAAAATCTATTTCGCCCATCCTTTGAGGTTGTTTGGGAGAGAAGATAAAACCTTAGTCATCACATTCCTCAGCGATATTGTTTACCCTATGTAAACAAAAAAAAGCATACCCGGAAATTGGTAATCTAGTTATCTCTTCCACCACAACACTTGTGTGGAGAATCTAATGATTCATTTTGTTTCAAGTATACGTTGTCACAATTAAAAAGTGTTTATAGTTTCTTTATCATTTTTCGGTACAATAATTTTCTGCGGTGTATTAAAGACGCTGTCCCATCGTCTCACACAAATAATTGTCAGATTATCAACATGAATAGATATGTTAACAGGTTCAATTTTGCGTTTATTCAGCGATACCAACTAAACGATGACGAATGCAGTCGTGTGACTCAGGGCTTCATAGTACGGAGAGGCCAGATAAAATTTGACGGCTACGCATTACAAGAACCAAATCAGATTAAATGTTCAAGCTAACAAGTTCATGTTGACGGAATGATTACTAGACCCCCTTTATGATTATTCAGGCATGATCAGAGTGTAGTCCGATTACAATATCTGTTACTTCAATGGTAGGGGAGAGAAATTCCAACTACCGTTTTTTTCCCTCGCCTTACTTCGTAAGAAGAGTAAGTATCTTAATTCAGCGCCGAAAAATGGCGATTTTTAAACAGAAAAAACTCTTTCGGCAAAACCTTGATACGAAAAAGGGATCAATCAAAGGATCTAGAAGCACATCTTTTTTTTCCCTCAAAAAAGGCACCAAATGTTTTCATTAAACTTCGTGCCCGGATAGCATAAAGCTGGGTTGTCCAACTGGCGGCCCGCGGTGCCATTTAGTGTGGCCCGCGAAAGATTAGACAAATGTGAAAGTCCCTTGCATCCTTGCCGGGCAAGAGGATTGCGCGCCTAGCGCACGCGCTTGTCGGGTCAACGCCCCCTTCGATAGAAAAATAGGTTAAGGTTGATTTTTTTCTTGTAAATTCAGAAATTCAAAATCATCCCAATATGTTTAACTGCATTATACATCGAAGAGCCTACACATTATCACGCACGTGGAGATATAGCACGCATAGTTCCATCTCCTCCTTAGTATCAGAGCAACCGGGCAAACTAGCGACATCAATATGGGGCCACGTGTGGATGGCCCGAGTAATGAAAATCTGGCTCGCCACCATATTAAAGGTTTTAGTTGTGGCCCTTCAGGTCTTGGAAGTTGGACACTTCTGGTATAAAGTACGCTTAAAAACTAGCGCAGGTCTTAGATTCGTTGAAATAACTGAAATTTCGATATAAGGATTAGGGTAGGGATCTCAGAATTTAAAGAAACGTATAGAGAACACTTCTCTTTATAGCACGTCACACACAGTTTTGAACTGTTTTTTGATGTTAAATAACTCAAATCTGATCGCGGACGGAGAATGTCCTAGGGTTTCGTCAGCAGCCACAGAAGGCGCAGATAAAGGAAGCATCAACTTGTCTCATCGCATCCAGAGCACCCTCCACCAGCGTACCCTGCCTTGCCGCTTGCAATGTTCTGCACTGTGCTTTCAAGTAGCCATCTAGCATCAAGAGAAATTGTGTCAATTAACGATCGCATGAGCAGCATTCGAACCGCATAAAAAACAACTTGGAAGTGAATTTCTTCGCGAAGGCTTTGGAAAGGTGTGCGAGTGTGGTTGGGCGCAGGCGCGTGGCAGGGCTCCGGTCGCCGGGCGGGCGGCGCGCGTGACCTGCTGCCGCAAGCGGGCCAAGGCCGCCCGCCCACCGGGCGCAGGCAGGTGCTCCGACGTCACAAAATCACCGGGCGGGGGAAGGATACGCTACAATCACCCATTTATTCATTTTTCCAGGCACGACAACTGCTATGGCCATACTCCCGTTGGTGCAATGACTGTTTTATCGCGGAAGCTGGCGGTGTTCCTCCCTAGCTGGTGAGATCCGGCGCCGACTCACACGGCGGGATTTCGTGTCCTACATTTCCCCCTCAACGCACCGTCCAAGCCGCGAGAAGCTGTCAGCAAAAGCCCGTAAGTGTGGTAGAGGTGTGCGTACGTACGTGCGTGTACCAAGGGAGACGTAGGGACAAGGTTGAGGAAGGGAAGATCGTGCGATTTTCGTTACCCGTTTGATAGGAGATGTCACGGCATTGATATGAAAACCACGGAAAACCGTAGCTCTCAGCAGCTGGTAAAACGTTTACTACAAATTGGAAGAAGCTATATGCACTTTTTCGGGAGGGGTGGTGGTGGTGCAAGACGCCTTGTCCCTCTCAAAATGGTGAAAGGGGCTACGTAACCAAACAAATAAAACATTATCTCTGTGAATATATTAAAACCCTGTCGAAAATGACGAATCTATCGTACATATTCATTTTCAACTTTACAGTGAAGAACATTTTTTTTAATTTTTACAAAAAATAGTACATCAATACGCAAAACTTAAGGCAAAAAACTTGAAGAAACTCAGGTATCTTCCCTTGAGAGGGGGCCTATTAGGACCTCAACTGTCACAAAAACCACTAAAAGCGAGACAAAAATCGAACTCCAGTACCGGCAGCGTATAAGCGATTCTGACAGTTCGCTCGACACGTGCTTCGGCACGTCATGTGACTTGCTCTGAAACAATCACCTTGCGAAACCAACAACTTTGCTGCTCATCTGAGTCACATGAAGTCGCCGAGGAGATAAGATTCGGCTCTGGCGAAAGTTTTGAAATTTGAGTCATAGCCTATCAATAAATGGTAATGTTTTGAGGTTAATCTGTGATGCAGGTGGTGCCTTGTGCAGAGTATTGTGAGGTAACGGCGCACTGAACTGGCAGAATCGTTTATAATCTGCCGGTACTGTAATAGTAGAATGGAAATACTACTAATAATATATTATAGAAGAAAGAGATTATCCATCCCTTCGTGAGAGGTTGTCAAAGATTTTATCTGTCAAAATGTCGCCCTTTTCGGCGCAGGATTGCAATGCTTTCTCTCCTGAGGCACAAGGGCGAGAAAGAACCTAAACATTTAATTGGATAAGGGGGCCCACCAGAGTTGTTGACCCAACACTTTTCTTGACGCATGCCTACGTTTCTAAGAGCATTTGTTTTAAAATAAGTGATTACAAGTGAAGAGCAGAAATGAGGCAGCTGTCAATAGTCTTATAAACATTGTTTATTGAAATTAAGTTCGGTAGGTGCCCGAATTAATATATATGGGCTTTTGTTTAATATTTCTTGAAATTGGTTAAGTGTGTTGCAGGGGCAAGAGGCGAATGGGGCGAGTGTCGAATG